GACTCAAGACCAGACTTCGGTTCCTTCAGTGAATTTATCACCGAACAAGCTCGCTACTGTAGTGCATTTGCGCCTCCTGAAATCATAAGCGGAGCGCAAAATAATCGTCCAGTGCATAGGACGCACACGGCTACCACTAAGCCGTCTCCGAAATGCAGTATGTACGAAAAAGAGGGTCATTACGGATCCGACTGCAACAAGTTTAAAGAGGCAGATATTGATAAAAGATGGCAACTCGCCAAGCAAAGGAATTTATGTTTCCGGTGTCTGCGTTATAGAAGTCAGACACACAGATGCAAAACCACGAAGTGTGGAATAAAAGGATGCAACGCGACACACAATCGACTCCTTCATAATAATAGAAAGGAAAAGACAGAGGGCCCACTAAAAGAACCTCAAGAGACAGTGGCAAACTCATTCGCTGTATCAAAGCATCAAGCTTACTTGAAGATAATTCCAGTTCGAGTAATTGGACCGGCGGGAGCAATAAACACACACGCTCTGCTGGATGATGGGTCGACAGTCTCGTTAATGGATCAAGAGATTGCCGATCAAATTGGAGCTAAAGGGCGGTTGGACCCATTCAAGATCACAGCTATCGGGAACACTACCCTCGATTCGCCGGACTCCCAAAGAGTCAAAGTGTCACTGAAGAGTCTCCATAGAAAAAGGGTGCCATTCAGAGCACGCACGGTCGCCAGCCTAAACTTGGGGCCGCAGACTGTGCGTGCAACAGACATAGAAAATTGTAAGCATTTGAAAGGCTTAAAGGATCAATTGACATATGATTCAGGCAACCCTAGGATCCTGATAGGACAAGACAACTGGAGACTCTTAATAGCCACACAAGTACGCAGAGGTCCACCGCACCAGCCAATAGCCTCGCTCACAGAACTGGGATGGGTGCTACACGGGGCGCACACTAAAGCCCCGCATCAGCGCGTCCACACGGCCAACGAGCTGTACACGAGCGAGGAGAATATAAATGACCAACTCCGCGAATACTTCGCGCTGGAATCTTTAATGATAAATCCGAGAAAACCAGATTCCGATCCAGAGAAGCAAGCCGAAGAAATACTAATAGCAGCAATAGAGGACAATAGTAAAGTGGACGACTGGCGCTGGGTACCCACAAAATTGAATATAGCTGACACCGCTACGAGGGACGTACCACCCAATTTCGACTCTAACCACGAGTGGTACAGTGGCCCATCATTTCTATACAAAGAACCGTCAGCATGGCCAACAGAACGACCCACGTCATCCGAACCTACTGGTGAAGAAAGATCTCTCACCATCACAGAAAGATATAGAGCTCCGCTATATAAAGAGGCCATTCCCGATCCGACGAAATTTTCGAAATGGGAACGCTTAGTGCGAGCTACGGCCAGAGTGCTTCAATTCATAACACTCTGCCGCAAAACAACCGACAGGACCTTTTATAAAAGGACAAAAAAAAATAGAGAGGAAGACCCCGACTGGAGGAGATCGAAGTGCAATCCGCGACGTCTCGCGCAGCCTCCCAGTCAGGTGAAAAGCAAAGATGTAAACAAATACATCACACTGGAGGCCGAATATATAAGAAAGGCCGAAAAGCTCCTGGTACATGTCATCCAGGAAGACTCCTTCACACAAGAGATAGCCGATCTCCGTAACGATAAGAGGGTCGCCCATGATAGCCGCCTACGACCACTACAGATACAATTGAAAGACGGGATCATTGCGCTACGAAGTCGAATAGCCGCTGTAAAAGGAGTCTCTGAAGATATGAAAGGGCCAGCTATATTGGATGGTGATCATCACATCACCCAATTGTATATTGATTGGACGCATCGTAGCCTGCATCATTGCGGGACCGAACCAACCATCAACGAGGTTCGACAGCATTACTGGGTAATCAGACTAAGACCCACTACTAAAAGAGTAGTAAGCCAATGCGTTCAGTGCCGCATAAGAAAGGCACAACCATCCATGCCAGCCACCGGTGATCATCCCAGCACGCGTCTCGCACATCACCAGAGACCGTTCACGTTCACCGGCCTGGATTATTTTGGGCCACTCTCCGTAACAGTGGGACGTCAGCATCAGAAGAGATACGTGGCGCTCTTCACCTGCCTTACATCACGAGCTGTACATTTGGAAATTGTGAAAGATCTCAGCGCAGACTCTGCCATACTGGCATTAAGAAGATTCGCAGCGCGCCGAGGATGTCCCACCGAGATTTACTCGGACAACGGCACCAATATGCACGGTGCCGACAAGGAGCTTCGAGAGGCCTTCCGAGAAGAAGCCAGCCGACGAGGCATAGTCTGGCGATTTATAACCCCCTCCGCGCCTTTCATGGGAGGGGTGTGGGAACGGCTTGTTCGATGCGTGAAGACGGCACTATACACCGTCCTTCATGAGAGACATCCGCACGAAGATGTCTTGACCACGCTGCTCTGCGAGGTGGAATATACAGTAAAAAGCAGACCATTGACTCACATCTCAGTAGACAGCAAAGACAACGAGTCCATCACTCCAAATCACTTCCTATTGGGAGGATCTGCGAGACTGCCAACACCTGGAGTTTTTAGTGAAAAAGATGCGAACAGCAAAAAACACTGGCGACGCTCCCAGATACTCGCTGACATGTTCTGGCAGCGTTGGGTCAAAGAATATCTGCCGGAACTTCAAAACCGGCGGGAGGCGCACGGTCAAGGCCCCGATCTCCAGGTGGGCGATCCAGTCCTCATAGCTGACAGCCAGTTACCTCGTAACACCTGGCCACGAGGAAGGATTGAAAACATATACCCCGGGGCGGACGGACAGATCCGCACTGTGGAGGTACGCACAGCGAATGGACTAATCAAGAGGCCAACCAGAAAACTCGTGCCGCTGCCGAAGTAGAGGCAACGTCTCTCACCGAAATTATGCAGCGCCGCTGCGACGGGTCTTCGCGACGCTGCACGGCGGGAGAAATGTTCGAGACGGCCAAAATGACTGTTCACAACGGCAAAAATGACTTTAAACGAGAAAGTGATTAAGGAATATTTATTTGTTTAAAAAATGAAAATACGGAAAAATTGACTAAATAATGTATTAAATATAGTTTTACCATGTATTTACAACTCTCAATATGTTTGTATAGAAGGTCGATTTGACAATAGTTAATATAAACAACTTTATTTTGTTTAAGAAAATATCGACCAATCACAGCGCGCCGCGCTATAGAACTTTCTGGAAATTTAAATTAACTGCGTAATAGTTTTAAGCAAAAAATTAATGAGAATAATTTTATGTCTGAAAAGAGTTGTAAATATGGTATTTAGTTAGCATATGATGTATAGATCGTTATAATAAAGAAATATTTTGTATAATTAAGCACGATTTAAAAGTTATAGGATAATTAAAGAATTAATATGACCAATTAGTGTAAAAGTTTAGGACATTTCAATGAATAACTTTGTTAAATGTATGTATGTTATATTAATTATCCTTTATCGCATACTAATGTAGAACAAAAATGTCTATTTAATGATGTATAGCATGTTAGAGTTAAGATTTGTATTATATAGAAAAGTTGCAATTTGTGCCATTTGCATAAAGAAAAATGATTGAAAATAAAGAGGCAAATGGGAATTGGCAAGCGGCTCTCTATAGAATATAGCCGAAGTCTACCTTATGGGGGCAAATCACAGTAACATTGTAGTAGGAAGAACTACCAGTAACAAGCAGCAGTATCCGGTAGTAGCTGAAGTGACTAGTAGCAGAACACAGTGAAAAGTTAAAGTGAAATAGAAAAGTTTAGCTAGCCGAAAAAGGTCGTAACTGAAAAATCGCAGTTACACATAGTCGGAAAAAGTGGCAACTGAAAATTCTCAGTTGCACATAGAAAAATAGTGTCAGCTAGCCAAAAATAGTGGTAACTGATATTCGCAGTTACATATAGTGAAAAAGTGTTGGCTAGCTGAAAAAAGTGGTAACGGAAATTTCGCCGTTACATTTCGTGAAAAGTGTTAGCTAGACGGAAAAAGTGGTAACTGATATTCGCAGTTACAAAAGTGTTCAAATTCAACTAATTTTAGTTGATTAATAGCTGCTAGTCAGTAGTGTTAGAAAACCAGCTGCTACCAATAGAAATTTTGGATACTACCAATAGAAATTTGTTACTTTCAATAGATATTTAAAATTACCAATAGAAATTGTAGAGAATACCAATAGGAACTTGTTACTGCCAATAGAAATTTGATATTACCAACAGATATTTTAAAAATACGAATAGAAATTTTAGAAAACCAATAGAAATTTTAATATTACTGTGTGTTTAATTAAATCTGTGTTTTAAAATATATAGTGAACAATCATAGTTGAAAAATAGTGATAAATAAATAACAGTGTAAAATCTCGCGACAAATTAATTAGTCGATCCGCTGGCCACTCCCTTGCTATTTTAATTTACAAATCGTGCATTTTAATTTTGAACCTCAGTCCACAGTTTATCCGCAGCAACCAAAGAGACGGCAGTGAAAGACGGCAGTTGGAGGAGTCTGGAACCTACAGGTGTAGGACGTGAGCGACTCGCGGGGTATCTCCGACAACATTTACTCCGGAGAGTTACGCCCGTCCGGCACACTTAAGCCGTCACTAAGTAAAGATTTAAAAAAGTTGACTCTCAGAGTGAGTTAATGGTTCATTAGTAGGCCTAAGGAACCGTTAACTTTAAGTAACGCTCTACCCTTGCTTAACTTCGTAATGAATGATTTTGAAAGGTCAACTTGTGAGGTTATGTGTGTCATTCCGTGGTTATTTTCAAGGATTTGTTTAGATCAAATTGTAATATTTTGAGAAAATGTCAGATTATGAAGAGTTTGTTGATTTTGTGGATTACGCAAGAAGATTTAGAGAACCAGGACCAAGACGGTATTTGCGTGATTATTCGGATCCATTTCAGAAATATACTTTTCTAGAATTTTACTCACGATATCGCTTTACCCCCCAAGCAATAAAAAAATACCATAATGCCAATGCTAGAACCACATTTAAAAAAACCTAGCAACAAAGGTCTGCCGTTTGCTCCAGAAATAATGATTCTCGTTACGTTGAGATACTATGCTAATGGGAGTTTCCAAGTAAGTAAAAAACTGTGTGCTATAGGACACCTTTAATATTGGGTACCTCTTATAAATTATTGCTGCACAACCCGATCACAATATCTGCAAACCTCACTGTAAAATGATGTTATAGCAAGTCACACAGGATACTGTGACTGAATTAAATAAATCTATCACTTATGCAAGTAGGTACTTACCTGGTTTCATGTTTTTCAGAAACTAGATGGGGATGTCATGAATATATGCCAACAGTCAGTATCAAGAATCATAACTACTGTGTCTAATTCAATAGCATTACAAATGAAAATGTTTGTAAAATTTCCATCTACAGTGGAAGATATCAATCAAGTAAAGTATGTTCATGATATAAACATGTTAATAGACATTAATAAATATTATACGTATTCTACATTCAACATACTTTTAATAGTAACATACTAAACTTCTGAATATTTCTTGCAGACAAAAGTTTTTTGAAGTGGCACAATTTCCTGGAGTGATAAGATGTATTGACTGTACACATATTAAAATAAGAAGTCCTGGTGGAATGTCTTCTGAAGTGTATAGAAACAGAAAGGGTTTTTTTTCAATCAATGTACAGGCAGTAACAAGACCTAATTTAGAATTTTTTGATTTGGTTGCACGTTGGCCAGGTAGCACACATGACAGCTTTATATATAATAGCAGTTCTGTCAAACAAAGTTTAAACATTGGAGATTTACAAGGACAGGGTATGCTACTTGGAGACAGTGGATATGCAGTCAGCAGTGTGTGCCTAACACCATTTTTGTCACCTAATAGTATTGGACAAGAAATGTATAATAATTATCATATTGTTACGAACTTGGGGTTCGAGACAATTAAAACTGCCGATTGAATTACCAAAATTGACACTTTAATTACGGATACTAGTTACAATCTAAAAACACACTAATAATAAAACACAGTTCGCCGTTATTTCGCTTCGAATTATTCTCTTGTATCGCCAATTCAATACTGCCCCGGTCGTGGTCTATACCGGCCTTATATAGGGCCTCAGATAGTTTCCAGAACCTTCTACTGTAGCGACATCTAGAATGTTCGAGTACATATCGGTCCCGAAAAATCAGGAAAGATCTCGACTCTCCTAGTACTGCTACTCGACACTAGAGGGCGCTAGTGTGACTAGTGTTGCCATGTACAAGACATTAATAGTGGCGCGCAATACTTTCATTTACTCGACACTAGGGGGCGCTAGTGTAACTAGTGTTGCCATGTACAAGACATTAATAGTGGCGCGTAACACTGCCCCCTCCTAAGACATGCTCGTCCCGAGCATTATTGGCCCCATAATAACGCGCCAGTCGATCCACATGGACAATCTTAGGAGTACCTCTGGCACCTTTCTGTATCCGGTAGGTTACGTCATTGATCCTTGTCACAATCCGGTACGGTCCGTCCCATTTAGCTTGAAGCTTAGGAGATTTCCCTTTGCTGCGAACTGGATTGTGTAACCACACTAGAGAACCTTCATCAAACCCCTTGTTGTTCATTTTGCGGTCATACCGTGTTTTCATCTTCTCAGACGTTTGCTGGCCCGTCTGTCTGACGTGCTCATAAATGTCATTCATTTTGTTCCGCAAGTCATTTGCATAATCGGTTATACTGCGTGGGGCATCAGGTGGTATTCCGGTGATCAGGTCTGCAGGCAGCCGCAATTCTCTCCCAAAGTTTACGAAAGCTGGTGTCACTGATGTACTTTCGTGAACAGCGCTTCGATATGACAACAAAAACGGTTGTATGTGCCTGTCCCAGTCTCGTTGCCGTTTTTCCACAACTTTTGCTAGGTACCTCTCCAATGTCTGATTAAATCTTTCTACCATTCCATCAGATTGTGGGTGGTAAGAAGTTGTTCGTGTTTTCTGAGTACCCATAACTCGGCAAGTTTCCTGGAATATTTGAGACTCAAAATTCCTTCCTTGATCGCTGTGAATCTCTAAAGGTACTCCAAAACGACAGAAGACTTCATGAACTAGTTTATCTGCAACGGTTGAAGCTTCTTGATTTGGAATGGCGAAGACTTCTGGCCACTTAGTGAAGTAATCCATCACGACCATGAAATACTTGTTACCACTTTCAGTTTCTGGAAACGGCCCCGCAACGTCAATGGCTATCCTCTCCCATGGTGCACCAACATTGTACAATTTCAATGCGCCTCTACTACGAATTTGAGGTCCCTTTACAGCCGCACAATTTGTACATTTGCGGCACCAGTCCTCGACATCGTCACGACAGTGGACCCAGTAAAACCGTTCTCGGATCTTCAGGAGAGTTCGTTTAACTCCCAGGTGGCCTCCTGAACAACCACTATGGTACAGCTGTAGAATATCCGGCACTTTAGCCTTAGGGACAACCATTTGCAAATGACACCTGTCTCCCCGACCATTTTCCCATTTACGGCACAGGACTCCATCCTGAATCAGCAAGCTGTCCCATTGGGCCCAATAGCTTTTCGTGGTCGAACTCATTGCTGAGACGTCGCTCCACTTGGGCTTAGGAGCACTGGCCTTCATCCATTCCAGAATCGGCTTAATGTCCGAATCTTCCTGCTGTGCATGTTGTAGGCTGTCCTTCCACTCATTGCTGAGCTGGTCTGTCCTGAGCATTCTCACAGATACCACTTACTTACTCTCTTGCCTAGTACAATGCTTGCAATCTTCAGGGCAAGGTCTTCTTGACAATGCATCTGCATTGCCATGAGATTTCCCGCTGCGATGTTCGATCACAAAGTCGTATTCCTGCAGTAGTTCTATCCATCTCGCAACTTGTCCTTCAGGATTTTTGAACTGCAATAGCCATTTCAGTGCAGCATGGTCAGTTCGTAAGTGGAATTTCCGCCCTAGAAGATATTTGCTAAAATGCTGCAAGGACTTTACCACAGCAAGCAATTCTCGTCTTGTGACACAATAGTTCCTTTCCGGCTTTGACAACGACTTGCTGAAGTACGCTATCACAATCTCTTGATCACCATTCCGTTGAGACAACACACCGCCGAGTCCTATATCACTTGCGTCTGTGTCAACTATGAATTCCTTGCCCGCATCAGGGTACCCCAAAATAGGTGTTTTGCACAGGCGGTTCTTGAGCTCCTGGAATGCAATATCGCAACTTTCATCCCAGCAGAATTGTCGCTTCTCCTCGGTTAGCTTGTGCAGAGGTTTGGCTATATCTGCAAAGTTCTTCACAAATCGCCGATAATAAGAGCACAAACCCAAAAATGCTCTAACCTGTGTCTTGTCTTTTGGGACCGGCCACTCCTTGACAGCAGCAATTTTCTCTGGATCCGTGCGGATACCTTCTTCCGACACTACATACCCCAAAAAACTAACTTGCCGTTTGAATAGTGAGCACTTCTTTGGACTCAACTTGAGGTTGGCACTCTGGATCTTCATGAGCACGCGTTCCAGGTTTTGAAGGTGTTCCTCAAACGTACGGCCTACGATGATGATGTCATCCAAATAGACCAGACAAGCATCTCCAATTAGCCCGGTAAGTACAAGCTCCATCAACCTTTCAAACGTTGCTGGAGCATTGCACAATCCAAACGGCATGACTTTGAATTGCCACAGACCCTTTCCTGTGGAGAATGCAGTTTTCTCCTTGTCCTTAGGGTCAATTTCAACCTGCCAGTAGCCACTTTTCAGATCTAGCGTACTAAACCACTTTACGCCTGTAAGCATATCCAGCGTGTCATCAATTCTTGGCAAGGGATAGCTGTCCTTCTTTGTAATGTCGTTCAGGCGGCGATAGTCAACACAAAACCGCATGCTGCCGTCCTTCTTCTTTACCAGCACCACAGGTGAACACCATGGACTAGATGAAGGTTCAATAACACCATCCTTCACCATTCCCTCAATCATGGTTTCCACTTCCTTTTCACGTGCTACAGGCAATCTTCTTGGCCGCTGACGAATAGGCAATTCTTGTCCTGTGTTTATTTTGTGTTGAACTAAGCCAGTCTTTCCTATGTCAGCTTCGTTTGACGAGAAAACATTGGCGTACTTAAGTAACAACTTCTTCGCCTTGACCATTTCATTCGGGGAAAGAACGCTGCGACAGTCTTCCAAAAGTGTGGTCACTATCGTTTGTCCATCCTTGCTGGGGGTCCCGGTCGATAGATATTCGCATCGACGCAACCAATCCACTTCCTCACTAGTACCAACCAATGTGCCTTTTTCTATAATCTGTTCCTGATCACAAAGGTTCAACACACGTACTCCTGAGATGTCGGTGGTTCTGACCAAGGTTCGAGCCACTTTCCATGGAAGGTCATTGTCTACCCTTTCCACGAGTACACAACGATGGGCTTGCCCAGGACTCCGAGGAAGACTAACCGGCACAATCGTTTCCGATCTCGGCGGAAGAACAATCTTCTTAAGGCTGTACACATTCCCTGGTAACGCCCCTTCCACGAAAAGTTCTTCTTGTCCACATTTCAAAACACCTTGCTTAACGTCGATCTCACAACAATTCTTCCTCATAAAGTCTAGGCCCAGGATGCAGTCGTCCATTATATCAGCCACGATGACATTATGCAGGTAGATCATGTTGCCTAGCTTCAACTCCATCTCCTTCTCTCCACGGACGGGTATGCGCTGACCGGTGGCTGTCACCAAATTAATGCGTTCTCGGTTGTATGCGGAGTCCCCAAGGAACCGACTTATAAGTTGGGAACTGACAACCGTGCGAGAGGCTCCAGTGTCTATGGTCAGTTTACACGGCGTTCCGTTGACTTCGCCCTTGATGATTAGGCTGTTCCCATCATGGGTTTGTGAGATCGAAATCCTTGGGGCTCTTTTAACATCAGCCAGCACCCGCCCCGCAGTCCTGGCTTTTACTCGTTTCCCTGCTGCTGCTGGGCGGTGCTATTATCCGCACTACCCTCTCGAGATCGATCACCTTCCCTTTCTACAGTTCGTTTAGGGCAGCTGGATCGAAGATGGCCCCTTTCCCCACAGCCGTAGCACCTAGGGTTATAGCCCTTATTGCGGTCCTGAACTGTAGCTGCTGCAACCTCCCTGACGCGGTGGGAACGATGATCCTGCCGCACGGCTTCCACCTCCAGTGCATGGGTCAGGGCGTCCTTAAGCGTCTGGTGGTGCCCGAGCCTCACAGCAGCTCTGACTTCAAGGTCGCGGATGCCGTCGATGAAAGTCTGCACCAGGTTCCCTACAATGAGCACAGGTACAGACTGGTACGCTTTTCGAACCAGCTTCTCCACCTCAAGGGCCCACTGCTGCAGGTTTTCGTTACTGCGTTGCACGCGATCTTTGAGCTGCGCACGAAAGACGTGTTCCAGGTGAGCATCGCCATATCTCGCCTCCAATGCCTCAAGGAGCTGCTCGTAAGTCACTTCCTTACCGAGCGCTTCCAAAACAGTTAAGGCCTGGTCGCGTAGGCCTAGGGTGAGAGCAGTCATGGCCTGACTTTTATTCCAGCCGTTCGCTTTCATGACAGCCTCGAACTGGATTTTGTAGGCCGACCAGGAAGAACTCCCGTCGAACGGCGGCACTTTGAATCCACGTAGCGAAGGTGTTGTAGCTACCACGGGAGCTGTGATTCCATCCCCAAGTTTGAGGTCGTCCAGCGTTTTCTTCACATCAGCCATCACGTTGTCAACCCGATTGTTCACTTGGTCGATTCGGGTTTCAGCTTCCGACAGGCGGTTGTCATGTTGAGCAACCCTATCCTTCACCTCCTTTATCTCTTTCCCGAAGGTAGCGTGAAGGTCCTTCCTGAGGAGCATCTGTTCTTCCATACCGCGCTGCAGCTGCTCTTCCAGCCGACGGGTCTGTTCCTCCTGTCGGCGGGCCTGTTCCTCCTGTCGGCGAGCCTGAT